CCGGTTACCACCAGGCCACTAACCGGTTACACCTGCTATATTTTGCCTTTTTCACCCAAAATTTGCACACGGTAACCGGTTACCTCTAGACCAGTAACCGGTTACCACTATTGTAGAACTCAAAATCTACAATTTTTCAAAAGCACGATTTTCATTGTTTCAAAACTCAAACTTCCAATTTTTTAATCAAAACAATATTTTTTTTAATCATACTAATTATTCACCAACATTTCCTATCAATTCCATTCAATTTACATCATCCAATTTCATCAATTACACACAAAATACATCAAAGAATTCATCAATGAGCAAAACCCCAATAAGGCAAAATAGAGAGAAATCAAGAACACAATCATGAAACTTAAACACTACCATACTTCATCATTATACAACCCGTTTTACTGTTAGGATCCCACCCTTACCTTAGATTTTTCTAGTTCTTGATTCCTACAGTGAAACCTCTTGCCCTAACCTCTTCCTTTTCTTCTTTCTTCTACGATCTTCTCTATTTTTCTACGTTGCTTTTCTCTTCTCTATTCTCAACTCTCTTTTATTCCAACACTAACCTTAGGACCCTTAAATCATAATACCAACCTTGCCCTTCCCAAATAAATAATAATTCTATTATTATACTAACAATATTTATTTAATTATTACACTATAGTATTAAATCTAATATTTTAATCCAAATAATGCTAATAACTATTTATCTCTCTACACCTCATGTTTCTACACTTTTGGACATACACCCCTATCATCTTAACTCCAATAATTCCTAAGGCCTCTAATTCCCAACAAATGCACCACAACACAATAAAAGATTCACTAAGGTGCACAAATACATCACATCATGTAATTAATTTAAATAAAATAATTCAACGAAATCCGGGTGTTACACATACCCTCTTATCATCTTAATCTACTAGAGGTATGTGATAGTTGGAAATGATGTTGAGTAAATTAGGATGAGACACTTGCACATTATGAGGGATATATCAATATCTATTATGAATGAGTTCAAAGACAATATTAGTGAGAATTGGTTGATCATTTTCAGAAATGTTGAATTTTTTGAGCCAAAGGTATACCAATCCAACAATCAAGCCAAAAATTAATGTGGCTACCTCTTTCAAGGATCCAGGTAGAGTTGTCCATAATAGTCCTGAAATTCCTTTTTAAACCTTTCACCAAAGAGGAAGGGTTATGGTTATTGATCATGATGTTTTTTCTAAGAATTATAGATCTCACGAGCTTAGTCTAACAATCTTTACTTTGAATTAAATTCCAGCAAAAATGCAAGTTAGATGCCTCATTTATGGTTTTGAGAGATCTAATGCATAAGCCTTCCTCATTCAAAGGTCTGCAACAAGAGTTCTAAGAAACAATGACCATTTTCCTTTTATCCAAATCACCACTTCAAATAAAATTACTAAACCAAGCTTCCAAAATTTTGATCAGCTTGAGGGGTCGGTCACATATAGTTATGCAATGAACAAGCATGTCGTGCACAACAAGTATAACCAACGGAATTATACTAGTCATAGAAAGAAAACTAGCTTTCCGAGTAGCCAACTTGAGATATAATGAAAGGAAGAATGAAAGCTAATATGTCAGCTAAGACTTTAGTTATAATCTTGTGTTTGCAATTAGCCAAAGCCATAGGTCTGAATTGGTCCAAGGAATCAACATTCGTGTTCTTAGGAATTAAGACAAATGTGTTGGAGTTGTAGTGAGGCATGATCCAATCTTCCATGAAGAATTGAGTAACAAGAGATTTTGATTTGTATTTATTTCAAGAGTTGGAGCTGATTTTTTTAAAGAAGATTTGTTTCCTTTTATATGCAATCAAAGATTTGATTGATTATATGCTTTTTGGTTTAAAGGAAACAAGATTGAATTTGATTTAATCAAGAGATTTATTCTAAATCTTTTATTTGGGAAGTTGGAATTGTTATTTATATCAAGCAAATATTTTATTTGATTTATTCAAGATTCAAAATTTTGTTATGTGGACAAATGTCAAGCCAAATGTACCATGATTTACGAGAGATATTGTCTCAGACGTATTTCTCGGAGAACAAGTTATATTGAAGTATATCTTGTCCTCATAAGATTTGTTTCTTTTTATGTTATATCATAGATATAACTTGTGTTTGGATTGGAAAAAGATCTTGTTTTAACAAGATTGCATTTGTAGTGCCTATTTTTTTAAGATCAGTTAAATCGCAATCATCATAATGAAGATTTGATTGATAGTATGTATTATTTGGAAGATATGATCCAAATCAAATGCAACAAGATTAATTTCTTTATAATCAAGAGATTCAGTTTAGAAGTGATCAATCAAGATTGGTATCACAGTATCAAAATTGATGATTGAGCTTTTATGCTTTTTGGATTAATGATTTGTTTCCTTATGTGTACAATCATGAGATTTTTGAAACCGCACTTTCTGGAATAAGGAAAGTTTATCAAAATCGATTTATTCAAAATGTTTGTTGAATATTTATAATTTTATTCAAGAATTAACCATTCAAGTTTTCAATTGTTATAATGGGAGATTGGTTTGTGCACTTTTTAGATTGCAGTCAAATTAATGAAGAATCCATGCAAGGCCTTTGTAGCTGGATTGTTGCTATTATATAAGGAGTTAATATCCTTTGTAAAGACTCTGAACTAAAGAGAAAATATTTATTCATTAAGAGATTTTTGTTTACTTGGGTGTTAGTGCTGTTAGTATTTTGTACACTCTATTTATGTGTTTTAAATATAAATTAGCTGAATAGAGTATTGAGGTGTAAGGTTATTATACCATCCATCTTACATTGTTGTAATTGTACAAACACTTGGGAGAGTGTTCAAGTGAGTGAGTTAGGGTTTCATATTTTAGGGGAGTCCTTAATAAAAATTCATGTGCAATATTAGGAAAAGAGATATTGAACTAGGAAGGTTCAACTAAGACCAATTTGAACTTCTGACTATTTAGAGTAAATTTTCTTTCTTGGGTTAACGTCCTCCAGACGTAGGTAATTTTGTACCGAAGTGGGTTACTAATTCTTGTGTTATTTATATTTTGCCTTTATTTTGTCTGCTGTGTAATTATCTTATCACACACATTGTGCCAGACATTGTGTATGATATCTTTCCATCAAGTGAACCAAATTTCAATCTTTGTTGTTTGAAGAAGATTCTTCTATGGTTCTCCCTGAGGCGGATGCTTCATTTTTTCTTCTTCCAAAGATTTCATTAGAAGATGCTTATTTTCCATATCCTCTTAAATATGAAGTTCTTTCATATAATGTTGAACTTTCTGAAGATTTTTTAACTATCGGGTATGTTCTTTCGAAGGAAACTATGAGAGTTGTTTGATAGGAGTTTGATGAAATTGTTGATGAATTTTCACTTTGAGAGTTTTTTTTGTGCCTTTAAATATAACTAATTGAACTAGCTCGTTCAAATTTTCTGCGATTTCATCCTTCTTTAATTTTTCCTAAAATTTATAAATACTCTCATATCTTGATTTAAGGATTGGACTAAATTTCCAATTCTTAACTGTTAGTTATTGGTTAGTAAAAAATGTTTCAATATAATTCCTAACATTTCTAAATGTTGAAAAACATTTATGAATGAAACATTCATCTTCTTCGTCTGTTGACTTCATCTCTTCTCGTTTGATACTTGGAGAAGATTCATATATCATTTCAAGAGTATATCACATTTCTTTTATGGATTTAAAATAAAAATATAAAGGAGTTTACTATCATCCAAAGACATTACTAGAAAATAAATCAATTTAAAAATTTCTCTTTTCCATAAACTATTCATCCAAGGACATACAAATCACCCAACAATATTCAACTTGCTCTATAGACAATTATCCCGTATTAAAACCATCAAACATTCAAAATCAGGCATGAGGATATTTCTTTAATTGTATAAGGCCTTTTTTAATCGACACACGTTGTTGGTTCCATATTTGATACCAAATCTAGATGGAATCTCAATATACATCTTATCATCTATCTTCATGTAAGAAAGCATTATTTATATTATATTGTTGTAGTTTCCAACCAGAGTTGGGTGTGAAAGATAATAATATCTGAATAATAATCGATGTTATATGTCTGAATATACCCTTTAGTCATTAATATGACCTTGTAATGATCAAGGGTGTCACGTGGCTTGTTTTCCATATCCATATGTAACAATTGAATTTTTGCCTCTTTTGTTATGACAACTCATTTATGTCCCACTTTTTTAAAGTGCGTTCATTTCCACATTCATAGCTTGAACTAATTTTTTTATAGTTAATGTCTCTTGAACAAATGATGTAATTCTCAGTGTCAACACATGCAATAAAAATATGATATTAAGGAGATAGTTGATTAAAAGAGACACATTTAAAAATAGAATATCTATATAGATAGAGAAACATGATCTTTTATCTATTATCAAAGAAATATGTGAACCATCTAAGTTAGTATCACAAGTACTCAAGAAATGACGATCACCAACATAAAAATCTTTTTTGAATACTTACCTCTGGTTCAGTCGATTGAACTTGTTTCTGGAGCAAATCAAATTTACTTCTGCTATGATATACAAAAATTAGTGTTAAAGTATTTCATTCCTAAAAAACATAAGACATTGGAGGACCAAGATCAATTATAAATTCAGTGTTAATCAATGGAGTATCTGTAGCACTTATAGGCTCAGGTTCAGTAGTGAAAATATGAATATGTGCTCTAAGATGAAGGAACATCAATATTCTCATAAGAATAATTCGAAATAGTTTCAAGTATATGATTAATTATCATATGTCATACATGTTAAAATATAGTGACATACTTCCTTTAACTTAGAAGTTCTTGGTTATAATTTGTAGTTCAATTCAATTATATTAGAAAATGTCAACAAACATAGATAGTTCATTTATTACAGTCTTGAAAACTTGAAACATACAAATCTCAGTTATAGCAGAAACTGTTGTCATGTTGAATTCATAACTTGAAGGGCTCCAAGGAAGAAGTTCCATCAAGCCCTTTTCCATAATAATGTGTCAAGAAATCTTTTATAGTAATGTTTTTGTAGATTGGTGGATTTTCTTCTGAAAGCAATTCCTTAATAGGACCATAAATCTTTGATGCACCTTGAATTGGGTCTGGAGAATTCACAAAAAAGGCTGCAAGAGAAATTCTTGGTCCTATGTTCTGTGACAAGACTCGGTGATAAACACTTATAAACTTTTCATTTGTGATCAACTACAATAGTATAAAAGAAATGGTTAAAATTGTTACCACATATATTCAATGATGAAACAAGCACAAATTTTGTTTATAGTAATTATTTTTATACAATAAATACAATTCACTACAATCACGTATTAACAATAATATGCAAATGTTTAAAAAAACACAGAAGTTGGGGAAATCAATTTTATTCCTAACTATTCTTTCTGCATAATCTGTTAGAATCCAATGATTCTTTTTTACTATTAATTCATATTCTTCTTCCAACTAATGAAAAATAACAACAATAAGTTTTAATACTTACTTGTAGAAGATCTCCTATATTTACAACAAGAGCTCCATGTATTGGGAGAATATTGACCCATTTATCATCATGAAGAACTTGAAGACCACCAAGTTGGTCTTGTAAAAGTAATGTGATGAAGTCACTATCAGTATGTTTAGAAGTGCCCATAGTTAGTTCAGGTTCAGGGCATGGTGGATAGTAATGACCTAAAATAAAGAGCCCTTCAGCACAATTCAAATCTTTGAGGTAAGAAGGTTTAAGTCCTAGCGCCTCCGACAATAATTCAAAGATCGTGAAGCCCAAATCCCTTATTTTCTGGGAGTATTCAATCACAATATCTCTGCAAGTATGAATCACATCATCAATGGTTAAAATAATTCAATATATATGAGCTATGAAGCACGGACACCTCTAGACGTAGACGTGTCGCGGTGTCCGATACTTGTATGACACTCGTACGACACTTGTCGAAAAAGTCAGACAAGTATCATTAAAAAATAGCTTTTTTTATATGCGTCGACACTTTTTGAATCGGTGTCCGACACCCGTATAACACTCATATAACACAACACGTGTCACACAATTCAGATAAACTTTTCAAAAATAAATTATTTTCTTTTTTGTTTTATCATACCTTATACATTTTCATGTTTTAAAACGATGATATCAATGAATAATTAAAAATTTAATTTTGATTAGAATATTTCTAATTTTTTTAATGTTAGACAAATAAATAAAACTCAAATATTATCATATGTCGGTATCTTGTATTTTTATATTATCAGTTCGGAGTATCTTTGTTTGTGTTATATCGTGGTGTCCGTGTCGGATGTCTTTACTTCATAAATTTTGAGTATGAACTAGACAAAAATAATCGAAATTATTATTTTATTGATTACCTGCATATTTGTGGTATTTCTTCGGGTTCAAAAGGAAGAGGAGCAACGGCAAAACCAAATGTATCTCTCCAATTAGCAGGTTGCCCACTAAACAAGGTTCCATTGGAGAAATAGGTAACTTTTTTCTTTCTATCACGTGTGTAAAACTCTTTTCTTACAGCAGCATCTTGTTCATGAAACCTACGGATTCCATCAATCATTTCATCTAAGATAGTAATGGGAATTTCATGATTAATCACCTGGAAAAATCCCCATTTGTGGCACGCACTTCGAATTTGGGCAATTGCCTCTACCCGTCGAGCTGGATTGTTGTCTATGTCTTTAAGGTCTATGATGGGAACACTCAACTTGGAGTCAAAACATGAGTTTTCACCGAAATCCAACTTCCCAGTATGAAAAATGCGTGGAATCTTTGACACTCCAGACTCGACCAAACCTTTGACACCTGTTTTTGAATCATCAAAAGCTTTCACTTCAGCTTTTTTAACACGAGTTAAATTAGTGGATTCCTCTAATTCATTTGTGTTTATAAGCTCCATATTAAGATGAAAACAATACCAGAATAGCACTGTCTTTTGCCTTTAACAGAAAAAGAAACATACAATTGAAGTAGAAAAAATTGAACAAGAAGAATTCATTAAATAATATAAGTTGAAAAGAGCAATCCAAATCAATGACGCATCCACTTTGTTTTATATAAATACAAGTAAGATAACTTTCAATGTGACCCCAATTCATTAGTCATAATAAAAACGTGGTAATTTGACTTATATGTATGATTGATATAATCAACGTAAACAATATAATAGAGAAAAATGGTGCACCAATTTATTGGTGGCCCATGAGTATTTAAGTTGAAAATTTCTTAACGTACTCTTGCATTTTTTTAGAGATTTTTTACGAAATATTTAAAATATTTCTTGATTTCGAAAATATTAATATATATATTTAAAATGATTATTTTTATAAATTTAGACACAATTCAAATATGTATTTTTAAATTTTCAAACATTTCAAATATATATTTCCGAATTCGCTACTAATAAAGGTGAAACAATCAGCTGAACATCATCAAACAATGAAGTCGCTATCGAACGTCTTTTATCTCACATGAAAAGAAAGGTGAACATCGAGAAAATCTGAGAAGAGAGAAATCATGGTCTTGCGACCGAGAGATCGAGTAAGAGAGTTTGTTACGCGAGGGGAAGGAATTAGCACCTCACACGTCCGTAATACTCTACAGTATCCACTCTTGTGATCTATCTTATGGGTGTGTCTAATCTATATCTACCGCTTACTACTGAGGAAGAATGCATGCAAAAGAAATACAGGGAAAAGAAGGAGGTATTTACGAATTTTGCTCACTTAGTCCCCGCGACCTGTTGCCTACGTATCCCTTTTGAGGAATCAGAGCACCATAGTTCGGCTCACATGTTTTGTTTCTTTTATGTTTTTTATGAACAATGTTAATTCCGTCTTATGCCACAACTCGACCTTTGGAGACTCACACGTTGACACAAAAGTAAATTAACATGTCCTTACCTGAAAAGGGTTTTAGAGAGAAAAGGTGCTCGAACGCACAAAAAAGTTTGAGTTGGTTTGTATTTTTTACCTTAAAAAACGATTTTTGTTGTTAGAGAGTGTTTTTATTAGTATGAAGGAAAAATGAGGTTTTAGTTTTAAATGCAAGGATGCAAAAGAAAGAAAACAACTAAGGGAGACTAGCCTAGTACCACCCCTAATGTTATCATGCAATGATGGTCCTACGTCAAGGATAACAAAAGGGAAACGTCTACCTAACATTATCATGCATGGTTTGCAACCTAAGGTCTAACTTGTATCTGAAAGGAACAAGTATATCCTAAGGGAACATGATATAGAAAGCGAGTGAACAAACAAACTTGAAAGAGCACACATATGAAATGGTAAAGAAAAGAAGCGAAATACTTTAGTCAAGGGGAGCAGATCACCCGAGACAAACAAGTGGGAGTAAAATATAAAAAAAGAGTAATGCTTTAGCTAAGGGGAGTGGATCAACCGAAGCAAACAAGAGGAATTAGGATGTAAAACAAAAACGTGATGTCCAAAGTGACTGAACACCTAACCGTGATATAGGAGATCGAGGTAGGAGATAGAAGGAAATATGAACAATCACGGAGTGTCAGTATCGACCAATGCGAACTCCTGACAAAGTGTGGTGGATTGGTTGCAAAACCCTTTTCCACTTGATGACTTGATAATGAGAGTAGGCACAACTTCGAAGTATCGTGGTGCGTCACGAGCTAAGAATGACACAGACGAAATTGAGGGGGTTGGTTGCTAACCCTTTCTGCTTGCCTCCTTTTGAGGGCTTCAATAAGGTATGGGAGAATAGATGCGAGCATAAATGTAAACATACGTGCAAAATACCTACTTCAATGGTAGGGTTTTAAACAAACACAAATAACATACAGAATACACATAATGCAGAATTACCCTAAACAAGTCTTTAAATAAATCAGAGGGGTTCCTGGAATGATCAACAGCGGAGATCCCCATCATACATCTCTAGTCCTACTTCTCATAGAAAGGAAAGCAGTAAAGTGCTGAAATGAGATAAAGTGCAGAAAAATATAAAAGCAGTAGTGACGACTACCAAAAGCAAGCGGATCGCCAAAAACGGATGAAAGCAATGGAGAAGCTAGAAGTGCGCGTCGAGCAAGCTTCACCAAGAAACAAACAAAGTCAGAAACGATATCCAACAAAGATAAAAGTAAACGCGTAATCAGATGTTCCTGCACAAAGTATCACAAAACATCACATGAGAAATAAAGCGTGTCACATCATAAGCGAGCATAAGCCATATGCTTCAATCACATCCACAACCCGTTATGTTACATGATTGAAGGCACCAAAATTTACCTTGCACAATGAACAAACACGTAAAAAATAATGAGGCATAATGGTATGAAAAAATGAATAAAAAACCTAAAATAAAAAAAAGGCATTTTATTAGTTTTTTATGTGAGGAAAATTCTATAAAAAACTAAAGAGTTAATTTCTAAAATCAACAAAATAGATCTAACAAATTTTATTGATTTTATAATTTTCTTGTCACAAAGAAAAGAAAATTAAATCCCAAATCTAACAAAGAGAAAGGTAGGATCAAGGGTGTGAAACTCATTCAGGGGGTTTTGCAGAAGCAAGGCGCTAGACCCATTTCAGAATGAAGTCCATAGCCATTTTAAATGCAAGGCCAAGAGCTACCAAAAATACACCCAGGCCTTGAGGATTTCGGCCCAGGATCGAATGGCAACACCAATCCACATCAATTTTTCAGCATTATTATTCTCTTTTTATTTAATTCAATAATAATAATAATAAAAAATAAAAATAAAACGAAAAATGGGAATGCTAAAGAAAACGCAGCGTTTGATATGGAGGAATAAGGTTCCAATTTATGTCTCTTGAACTTCTTCGTGAGAATACGATCGTCTTTATCTCTCTGCGAACAAACGGTGCCGTATACCTACTCTCTACACTGTCCTCTCCTTCTACTCTTCGCTGCTGTCCTCCTCTTCTAATCGTCGTCTCCGTCTTTCTCTATTCGAAATAAACCACCACGACACATGAATCTGACCTCAGATTCTTCCAAACACTTCACAACCTTTCCCCAAATCGAAGAAACCTAGAAGTCTTGAAGCTTCAATCGAATGGTGTTGACACCTCTGCTCGAGTTACGACCATAGGAGAATAATTCCATGCGACGACGGTCGTGCTAAGGCACCGAGAAGGTGACAAATCAGTGATAGACGGTTTTAACTTGAATCGGTGATGGTGGAGCATTCAGTGTCAGGTATTTCGTTTATCGCTTCTTGTTTCTACTTGTCTTCATCTTCTTCTCCGTCTTCACTTCTCTGAATCAGTGCGTTCTCTATGATGCGTTGATTCCGAAATTGTTGTTCTGGGAACTTATTCTTGTTCGTTGAAGATTCGTAATATTGAAGATGATGATGTCGTTGATGGATGCAGAGGAGCTGCAATTTTTGATCAAGGCAAGGCAATGATGATGATTGAAGATGCACAAAGAGGTAAAGAGAGATTGCAGATGGGGCTTTGAGGAGTGTAGATAAACTCAGAGATATTTAAAGAGAGATTGCAGAGAAAATTCGTTGGAGGTTGAGGATGAAGATTGAGGGTGATTTTCAAAGAGAGATTGAAGGGAATTTCTCAGAAATCTCAGAGATTCAGCGGTGAGTATCTTTTTGTGATTTTTCTGTGACTTTTCTGCTGAATGAATCCCATTTCCTGAATCTGTTACCTTTTTCTGTTATAGATCTCTGCTAGAAGTTTGTTAGAAGCAGTTAGGAGGTTAGAGGTTAGCTGGAATTCAGTTGGATGTTAGTTAGAGGTTTTGATTTTCTGTTACAACTGTTAGATGGATCTTGAATTGGTTATAGTAAAATAGATCCGAGCCTTTGATTTTTAGAAATCAGTTAGGGAATGAAAGGTGTAGATTTAACAGTGAGCTTTCATGAAAATTTGTTAGAAGGTAGTTGGGTAAAAACAGAAACCAGTTAGTTGTTAAGTTATAATTCCTGTTTGAGTGAGCTGAGATAATAAGAAGTTCTGTTGTGGTTTTAGAATGATTTTGAATTGTTTTCCGATGCATGCTGGTATTGTTGGTGTATGAACTAGCCTTGAGAATTGGATGTGGGTACTCAAAAATTGGTTTTATTGCGGGTTAAATGAGAACTGTTTCTTTTCTTTCGAATTTATATGAACTAGTGCTAAGACAGGATGGATTGTATGTATAGTTGGTTAGTCTAAAGATTAGTAGAGACAAATTAGTCTTGAATGAACTGATTTATTGAAATGATGTAGATGAGTTAACTAGTTTTGTGTTGTTGTGTAAGTACAAGGTTGCTGAACCGGTTTTAATTGTGGGGCTATTTGTGAAATCTGTTATGAATGGATGATGGTTAGTAGGGAAGCTGTGAGTTGGTTTCGTATTTGGTAGCTGAACTGGTTTTAATGAATCGATTTTCTCTATTTCTGTTAGGTACTGATGTTGCAGCCTGTTTGATGTAAGCACAAGTTTGGAGGACACTGAAACTGACCTTTTTGCAGGTTTCTTTTGATTCAAGTTTGGCGCAAGTTTTGGCAAGGGTTTTAGAACTGTTTTGGTTGGTAGAGAATTGATATAATGATGATTTTGTGCTAGGTCCAATTATGTGTTCACTGAGGTATTTACAAGAATTGGCTTGGCTTTGGTGTAATTTCAAAATGTAAGGGCATGATATTCGAGTCGTGGACATGACTTGGTGGAGATGGAAGCATGAATATGCATCGAACCAAGAAAATAACTCGAAGCAAACGAAGCGAAGAGATTGATAACGACAAGGTTTAAAACACGAAGAATGATGGAGAGAATAAATATGGGAGAATAGGCATTAGGTTTTTTGTGATTGTTTCTTTTTATGTAATGACTTTATATTTGGTGTAATAAATCATGAGGAACAAAATTTGGATTTTGATCTAATGATATAAAATTTGGATGAAACTGAATGTAACTTGCATATTTGGACAATTGAACTTATAATGAACAAAACTCTTTGAATGTAATGGCCTTGAAATTTTAAGGTCCTTGGATGAAATTTGGATGAATTTATGGTTAATGTAACATGTACTCCAAATGACCAAATTTAGTGAACTCCTGAACCTTGCCTAATGTCATTGAATGACACCGTGAATCACTTTACTTGGACTTTTGCAATTGAACTATGGTAATTACTTAACCAACATCTCAAATTCATCTCCACCAATGAAACTCTAATTCAACACCTCGAGTAACTTGCATGACAAGCAACAAACAATAAACATGCCTTGAACAATGTTTGAACTCGTAATTCTTTACAAATTTGTAAGTTGTATACCAAGAGGACCATATGAATGAACCTTCCAACCTTACCTTGAATAAACCATTGAAAAATCATGAAGTCGAGACCTTGAACCAATATTAATCTTGAGCACAATTAGAAGTTTCAATGAATCTAAGTTGACATCTCATTTCTCTTAAAATACTAGTTAACTTGCAATTGAAGAAACAAGTATTTGAAAGAATGATGTCCTATTGAACTCAATGAATTCACAACTTCATCTTTTATGCCACGACCCAATGCTTTGTAGTTCGACAAATAACATCTTTTAACTTGACGATCAACAAAATAACAATACCTTGAGGAAACCCTAACCATGTCTTTGGGACACACATTAAGTGAGGAAAGAAGCTTGAGGTGATCAGAGGAACCAAAACTATAACTCACTCAAATGAAAATCCTAATTAACTTATCCTTAAAGAATCCTCGTAGAGGAAAATCCTGTAGCTTGAGGAAAAGGAAGTTCACAATGATCGTAAATCCAAGTTTTATCCTCACAAAACAAAGTTAATAAAAATCAATTGATTCAAGCTTGAGTGAAACGAAAGCCTTATAGTATAGAGAAATCCTAGTTCCTTAATATCTTTGACCCCATGCCAAGTCAATGATTAATGATGCATGTCGTATAAGATGCACTAATGGAAAGTAAATGTATATGATGATGCATAAGTCATATGGTTTTATTAAAAAGGTATGAAAATTTTGGAGTATTACAAAGGGTGCGTTAAGAAACCGTCCGTTAAGTTTTATACATATCTACTCCTCTAACAATGTCATATTCTTGAGGTTTCTATATCACATCACTCTATTTAATTGAGCAAGTCAATTTAGTTACGAAACCTATTTTTTTTAATCAAATCACTTTAACAAAACCTTCTTAACTAAAACAATTATTAGTTTCATTAATTTTAGTATTTTTCTGTTTAATAAAAAACAAAGATATTGAGACTATGTATGACAATAAAATCCGTATTCGTAATTATTTATTTGAATCTGCTTTGAAATTTGACGGAGAAAATTTATTTTGACAAAATTTGAGTTTTGGTTTGAGTTTTCCCCAATTAATAAATATGGGAATGAGTTGTATAATGGAAACACTAGTATTCATTCCAAACTGCCTCGAAATTCGCTTGATTTATTTTATTATATATATTATTATTTATTTTAGATGATTTAAAATATTAAATATATAATTAATATTTTGATATTTTAATTTGTATTATTATTTAAAATATTTGAAATATATGTATGGAATTTTTTTAAATTATTTTATAATAAATATTTATAATATAATTTAATTTAAAAAAAAAATATTTTAATTAAAAATTAATTTTACTAAATAGATATAGATGATTACATAGCAGAAATATCCGAATCCATTTAGATCAAATTTGCATTTTAATTTTCTATTCTCATTTAAATTTAGACTGGAGAATAAAGATTATTTAGAAATTCAAATTTAAATTTGCGGATGTAATAACCGTCTTGAATTCATCCTATTGCTATAATAATGGAGACTGTATCTCAATGTTTCCTTCGCAGCCAGAAGGAAAGGAAGACTAACCGATGCTAGATAATGTTATTTTAGATTGTTTTGAACTGTCCAAAGTTAATTACTCTGAAATATAGCCAGCCATAGAGTCATGCTTTATTTGTTATTTATAGTCAACAAGCTCATCAAATTCGTTTTTATTATTATATTTTTTTAACATGGAGTTGCCAAAGAACTATTTTTTCCTGTTTTTATTTTTGTGGCGCTCGCCATAATCTATTAAAATAGTTGTTGTGAAAAATAATATTTTTAATTAAAGTATAAACGGTTTCTTTATTTTCAAGAAACAATAAGGATAGAAAAAATGATAAAATAAGAAGAACAATAAGGAATTGATTATTAACGGTTATTCTTTAACTTTAGTTCAAACAAGATTATAAGTACACAAGAATAATAAATAACTCTCTTACTATAAATTATGATTTGCAGTATGTAATAATGAGAGACTAGTATGTTATTTATAATAAACCTATCATATAAAACTAATGGGCTTTTTCACAAATACCCATTACAAGTTAACTTAGGGTACAAGCTAACTTAAACAATTGAACATAATAATCGGGTCTAACTAGATGCTAACTATCCTAACATCCTTCGACCACTGCATGCTTGAACCTTCTTCGACTACAACATATAATCCTTCAACACCAGCATGTGAACAACTTTGGACTGCATGCTACAACTCTGTCGAAATGTCGAAACCAAGAATCTCCCTTCGACCAGCTAGAGTTCGATTCCAATATCTCACAAATCTCTAAATTGGAACAAAATCTAATATAAAAAAAAATAAACTAGCTTTCTTCATGCAACTTTATCAACTGCATACAGTGGAAAAATTTGCAATTTGGCGATGTCTTGGTGATCATATCAGCATCATTGTGATTTGTCGAAACCTTCAGCACTTGGACTTCTCCACGCTCGATTATCCCTCTGACAAAATGCAGCCTCACACCAATGTGCTTGGTTCACTCATGATAGGCTGAGCTCTTCGACAGGTGTATTGTATTTTGACTATCACATTTAACAGTGATAACTTGACCTTGAAGTTTAAGCTCCTTAGAAAAACCTTCAAGCCACAATGCTTCTTTCACAACTTCAGTTAAGGCAATATATTATGCTTCAGTGGTTGATAATGCGACAACCTTCTGAAGTGTTGCTTTCCAACTAACTGTTGTACCAAACATAATGAAAACATATCCAGAAATAAATTTTCTAGAATCCATACGACTTTTGCATAATCAGAGTCGACATATCCTTCGATTATTGCTTTATTGTCTTCACCCAAGGCTCCACCATAAATTAGGACTCTGTTCAGAGACCCATTTATGTACTTTAGAATCCACTTCAATGCTTGCCAGTGAGCCTTTATAGGATTCACCATGTACCTGCTTACAAGACTTACTGCATATGCTATGTCGGGTCTAATATATACCATAACATACATCAAAGAACCTACTATGTTAGCATATGGGATACTATTCATATAAGCTCTTCCGACCATAGTATTTGGACACTGATCGATACTTAACTTGAATTGAGGGTTTGTTGGAGTCACAATAGGCTTTGCATTCGACATACCAAACTCGTCAAGAATCTTTCGTAGGTATGCCTCTTGAGATAAGCATAATTTTGACTGCTTTTTATCTCTTCGGATGTCAATCCCAAAAATCCTGGATGCAGCTCCCAGATCCTTCATTTCAAACTCTTTATTGAGTTTATCCTTCACCCTTATTACATCTTCGACATTGTTTCTTGCTATGAGAATATCATCAACATAAAGCAATAAAATAACAAATGAATTACCAGGATGAAATATGAAGTAAACACAATGGTCGAACAAACTTCTAATGAAACTTATGCGTGACATGAACTTGTCGAATCTCCTATTACACTATTGAGGATATTGTTTCATCCCATATAAAGATCTATTCAACTTGCACACATAATTTTCCTTTCCCTTTTCGACATACCCTTTAGGCTGCCTCATCAGGATTGTTTCATCTAGATCACCATACAAGAACACGGTCTTCACATCCATTTGTTCCAGTTCAGGGTCGAACTTTGCCACCATGGCAAGCAAAATTTGAATGGACATGTGCTTCACAATAGGAAAAAACATCATTAAAGTCGACACCTTTCTTTCTGAGTGAAACCCCTTGCAACTAACCTTGCCTTGTATCTTTTCGATGCCGCTCCTTTGATTCATTCCTTAACTTTGAAAATCCATTTACAACTGACAAACCTGGCTCCAGCAGGTTTCTTGATCAATTCCCAAGTGTTTTTATCATGAAGAGATTTCATCTCATCATCTATGGCCTTAAACCATTCAGTCTTATTTCGACTTCTCATAACTTTATTATGGTCTCTAGGTTCTTCGTCTAGAACCTCACTTACAGAGATTAAGGCATAAGCTATAAGATCTTCATACCCAAGTCTTTGAGGTGGCTTGATGACTCTTCTTGTCCCATATCTTGCCAATATGTAGTTTTCGACAATTTCCTCAACTTCCTCAGCATCTTCTACTTCTTCTCTGACTTCATTTGGGATATACAATTCAACAACAATATGCTCCACCTCAATAGGAATCTCTACCTGTTCCAGCTCTTCGTTAGATATTTCTGCACTTCAATCAACATCACGAGTTTTCTTGAAATCCATTTCAGCTTCATTGAAAACAACATCTCAAATGGTGATACACCTTCTGTGACATGGATCTAGGCACCATAGCCTATAAGCTTTGACTCCTTCAGGGTATCCCATGAACATGCATTTCAGAGCTCTAGGTTCGACCTTATCTTTCCTAATATGAGCATAGGCAACACATCCA